ATATTATGAAATATTTTTGTTATTAAATAAATAAATCAGTCAATAGTTTTTTTAAATTTATTTTGTAAATTAAAAATCAATAATTTTGAAAAATTGATTAATTTGTCCCATTAAGTGATTCAAAATTTTGATAAATATACATAAAAAAAATACACAATTATATTATTAAATCATAATTCAAATTTAAATGTTATATCTTTTTGAGATCTGGGAAGAGAAAAGGAATGCAAGTTTTAAAATATTTTTTTTGAAAATTTGTGAGAGAGATTAGGAGGGAGAGATTATGAAATATTTTTGTTATTAAATAAATAAATCAGTCAATAGTTTTTTTAAATTTATTTTGTAAATTAAAAATCAATAATTTTGAAAAATTGATTAATTTGTCCCATTAAGTGATTCAAAATTTTGATAAATATACATAAAAAAATACACAATTATATTATTAAATCATAATTCAAATTTAGATGTTATATCTTTTTGAGATCCATAGCTAAATTCTTATCTTTTTTTTTTTATTTTTGTGTGTAACCATAGTGTATGGAAGAAATTGAAAAGAGTATTACAATAATTATGAGAAAAGTCAAAAGGGATTGTGGGTTGCGAGAAGCCAATAAATGCTGAGGTTGCGTTGGGAGAAGTCAATAAATACTAAAGTTTTTTTTTTAAAATCAAAAAATTAGAAAATTAGGATTAGGAGATTGGAGCTCTCACAGGCCTTGGGGTTAAAAACCCCCTGTTGCTTAATATATAGTATAGATTGTAAACACAATCCGTGCATTAGCACGGGTGATATGCTAGCATTAAATAAGGAAAAAAGGGTTTTTAACCCACAAGCCTTGTGAGAGTTCCAATATCCCAATCTTAATTTTCTAATTTTTTGATTTAAAAAAAAAAATTAACCTCAGCATTTATTAACTTCTCTCAACCCACAACCTTTTTGACTTCTCTCATAATTACTGCAGCACCCTTTTTAAAACAAATAATTTGTATATTAAAAAAAATCTAAAACAAATATAAATGTCTATATCTATATTTATCTATTTATTTATCTATACTATATATTAAGCAAAAAAGGGTTTTTAACTCCAGGGTCTCTGGGATCTATTTATTTATCTATACTATATATTAAGCAAAAAAGGGTTTTTAACTCCAGGGCCTGTGGGAGCTCCAATCTCCTAATCTTAATTTTCTAATTTTTTGATTTAAAAAAAAAATATCAGCATTTATTGACTTCTCCCAACCCGCAATCCCTTTTGACGTCTCTCATAATTATTGCAACACCCTTTTCAATTTCTTTCATACATTATGGTTACACACACAAAAAAAAAAAGAAAAAAAAGATAAGAATTTAGTTATTGATCTCAAAAAGATATAACATTTAAATTTGAATTATGATTTAATAATACAATTATGTATTTTTTTTATGTATATCTATCAAAATTTTAAATCACTTAATAGGACAAATTAATCAATTTTCTAAAATTATTGATTTTTAATTTACAAAATAGATTAAAAAAAACTATTTACTAATTTATTTATTTAATAAAAAAAATATTTCATAATCTCTCCCTCCTAATCTCTCTCACAAATTTTCACAAAAAAATATTAAAACTTGCATTCCTTTTCTCTTCCCTAAAAAATCAGATAATATTTTTTATTAAAGTTGTAGATATCTACCTATATTTTATATATTATATTATAACATAACAAAAAAACTAAAAAAAAAATCTTTAAAGTTTATGTAAATAAACTTTAAATCAATAAAACTCACATGTCTATCACATATCTAACTCATATCATAACTTACCTAAATAATAATAATTAAAAACAAATGGAAACCACAAATAAATTAAATTTAAAAAAAAACGATACCCACAACTCCATCTTAAATAAATTGAAAAAAAAAAATATTCGAATAGAAACCACACAAAAATAAAAATAAAAATAAAAAGATATATCCATCTATACTATATATTAAGCAAAAGGAGGTTTTTAACCCCAAGCTTTGTGAAAGCTCCAATCTCCCAATCTAAATTTCCTGATTTTTTGATTTTAAAAAAAATAAAATGTTAGCATTTATTAGCTTCTCTCAACTCCCAAGTCTTACCCTCATAATAACACTTTAATGCATTAAGAACAAGCATAAAAAAAAATTCTTTAAAATCCAACACATATGAATTCCTTGAAAAGTCCCAACACACATGATTATTATCCCTCATAATAATACTTTAAAGCATTAAAAACAAGTATAAGAAAAAAAATTTGAAAAGTTCAACACATATGATTATTATCAAAATATAATACTTTAATATAATATAATAATTAAAAAAAACATTTAATTCCTTGAAAAGTTCAACACATATGATTATTATCAAAATATTAAACTTTAATATAATATCAAAAAGGAAAAAAAGAAGACATTTAAAAAAAAAATTAAAAATCACAATTCACATATATAGATAATTGTAAACACAATCCGTACATTAGCACGGGTGATATGCTAGTATTAAATAAGCAAAAAAGAGTTTTTAACCCACAATCCTTGTGAGAGTTCCACTTAAAAAAAAATTAAAAATCACAATTCACATATATAGATAATTGTAAACACAATCCGTACATTAGCACGGGTGATATGCTAGTATTAAATAAGCAAAAAAGAGTTTTTAACCCACAATCCTTGTGAGAGTTCCAATATCCCAATCTTAATTTTCTAATTTTTTGATTTAAAAAAAATTAACCTCAGCATTTATTAACTTCTCTCAACCCACAAGCCTTTTTGACTTCTCTCATAATTACTGCAGCACCCTTTTTAAAACAAATAATTTTTATATTAAAAAAATATCTAAAACAAATATAAATGTCTATATCTATATTTATCTATTTATTTATCTATACTATATATTAAGCAAAAGGGGGTTTTTAACCCCAGGGCCTGTGGGAGCTCCAATCTCCTAATCTTAATTTTCTAATTTTTTGATTTAAAAAAAACTATC